ACACACATACACAGAATAACAATGTGGGTACACAAGTGCATGCACACACACACACACACACACACACACACACACACACACACACAGAATCAGAAAGTAGCATGGGGCTGGCGTGGTGGCTCAAGCCTATATCCTAGAACTTTGGAAGGCTGAGGCAGGAGGATTGCTTGAGCCCAGGAGTTTGAGACCAGTCTGGGCAACATGGCAAGGTTCCATCTCTACAAAAAATGAAAATAATTAGCTGGGCCTGGTGGCATGTGCCTGTAGTCCCAGCTACCGGGAAGGATGAGATGGGAGGATTGCTTGATCCCAGGAGGCTGCAGAGAGCCGTGATTGTACCACTGCACTCCAGCCTGGGGGAGATAGTGAGACGCTGTCTCCAAAGAAAGAAAGAAAGGGCTGGACACAGTGGCTTATGCCTGCAATCCCAGTACTTTGGGAGGCTGAGACAGGCAGATCACCTGAAGTCAGGAGTTCGAGACCAGCCTGACCAACGTAGTGAAACCCTGTCTCTACCAAAACTACAAAAATTAGCTGGGAATACTGGCACATGTCCGTAATTCCAGCTACTCAGAAGGCTGAGGCAAGAGAATCGCTTGAACCTGGGTGGCAGAGGTTGCAGGGAGCTGAGATTGTGCCACTGCACTCCAGCCTGGGCAACAGAGGGAGACTCCATCTCAAAAAGAAAAAAAAGAAAAAGAAAGAAAGAGAGTAACATGGACACCCAGCCACTCAGTGTACCCACACTCCCAGAGGAGATCGAAAAGATGAGACAATACACAGAGCTCCGGTGCCTACCAAGGTGAGGTCTTTATGGTGGTATAGAGACTGGTGAGTTTCAGAGCCAGTGTGGCTGGTCCAGTCCCTAGCCCAGCACAATTCCCTCCATTTAGGGCCCACATCACCTCCTGTGGGAGGGAGGGAGGTGTCAGACCCCCCCATAGCACCAATCTGGACAGGCCACCCCCTGACAAAACAGAGCAAGCAGTGCCTTCCAAAAAGAGGGTAAATGGGGCTAAGAGGGGGAGGCCTTTTCCTGTGGGAGACCAAGAACAGCACCATTTGTAGAGAGGAAGCTGTGGGGTAAGGGGAGCACACAGATGGTGGCAGAGAGCTGAGGGGTCCTGGCCTCTCCCCGCAGCCCGAAATATGCAGGCAGCGCTGTGCCTGTGTGTGCCTGTGCAGCTGGAGAAGTCTTTGGATTGCAAGCCCCGCAAAGGGTGAGGGAGCCCCAAGTGCCCCAAACATCTGGGGTAAAGTCAAGGTAAGTGCATGTCTGGAGGGCTGAGGTGGGAAGTGGACGGGGTTCTAGGACACAGAAATTGTAGGCAATGAGAATGGAGAGGCGTGAAGTCCAGGAGCAGCACAGCTAGAGGGTAGGGGTCTGGAATGGGAAGACTTAAGACTGAAGGTTGAAACTGGAGTAAGCTCAGTGGGGTGGGAAGCTCAGAATATATTCAGGAGGGTGGGGTCTGGAATCAGGGAGTTGCGGTTATCAGATTCAGAACCAGTGGAATCTATAGGGCAAAGTCTAGATTCCAGAATCAGAAGCATTTGGAGGCTGAATTATAGAACCAGAGGAATTTGGATCTGAAATCAAAGGCAGTTGGAAGCTGTGAGGCTTAAAAGCAGAGGAATTTATAGAATAAGGACTAGAATTAGAAAAAGCCTGGCTGTGCTCAGTGGTTCATGCCTGTAGTCCCAGCACTTTGGTGAGGCCAAGGAGGGAGAACTGCTTGAGCACAGGAGTTCGAGACCAGCCTGGGCAACATGGTGAAACCCCATCTCTATATTTTTTTAAATAAAAAAAGCCTAAAGTCTGAGATCTAGAACCACAGAGATTCGGAAGCCGTAAGATCTAGAATTAGGAGTTGAGGGTTGTAATATCTAAAACCAGGGAAATATATAAGGCAAAGTCTGCTTTTAGAAGATATTGAAGGCTGAATTCTAGACCCCGGGTAATTTGGAGTCACACCTTGAGTAAAGAGGAGTCTAGAAATTATGACGTCTAGAGCCAAGGGAAATTACGGGATGAGGTCTAGTGTCAGAAGACACTTGTAAGTCAGTTCTAGAACCAGAGAAAATAGCAGATCACCAGATGCTGAATCAGAGGACCACGAAGGCAGCAAGGTCTAGAAGTTGTACAGTCCAGAACTAGTGAGTGGAGCAGGTCATGAGGTTCAGAATCTAGGAGAACTAGAGCATGATCTGGTTCTAGAACTGGTTATTACAAGATCAAGACAGGACCGGGTGCAGTGGCTCAAGCCTGTAATCCCAGTACTTTGGGAGGCCAAGGCAGGTGGATCACTTGCGGTCAGGAATTCAAGACCAGCCTGGACAACAAGTGAAATACTGTCTCGACTAAAAATACAAAAATTAGTTAGGCGTGGTGGTATGCATCTGTAGTCCTGGCTATTTGGGAGGCTGAGGCAGGAGAATTACTTGAACCCAGGAGGTGGAGGCTGCAATCACACCACTGTACTCCAGCCTAGGTGACAGAGCAAGATTCCATCTCAAAAAAAAAAAAAAAAAAAAGAAGAAGAAGGTGAGGTCTAAACCAGACCATGCTGAAGGTTGTGTGGTCTAGAACCAGTGTAGGTCAGAGGTTATAGAGTCCGGAGCGGGAGCACATTGCAGGTTGCATAGTTTGGAAGCAGAGGAAGTGGGAGAACCATGAATGAAGTCAGTGTCCAGGCAAAGCTGGGGGCAGCAGGAAGCCCAGAACGGAAGGGGCAGGCAGAGCAGACGGGCAGCATGGGGGGCTTTGGCCTCAATGGGAAGTCGCTGGGGGTAAGGTCTGGCCCAGAGCCTCCCCCCACTGACACCTGAGGAGGGGGGAAAGATCAGAGTCCCACATTCTTACAGACCCCAGGCAATTCATTGTGATTAAAAACCATATTATGAAATAGACAAAAATAAAAATAATAATACAAGAAGGACAGAAGGAAACGTGATCACGGTGACCTGTGGATCATCGTTCTCTCCAGAACCCGGAAACACAGACACGACCCCCTAACCCTCCCCACCCCTAATTCCCCAAAATAAAGCCAAGAGAGGCAGCGAAAGGGATAATGAGGTAACCAAGTATTGAGAACCCCAAGAGAAATCCTGAGAGGAGGAGGAGGGGGCAGGGACCCCCTCCCAGAGGTCACTGAGCTGAGACCACCCCAAAGAGTCCCCACATTGGGAGCAGGCAGAGGGGTGAGGGCTGAGGTAGGCCCGAGGTGGGCAAGGGGGCACTTAGAGGAGAGAGGGGGCCCTCTCCTGGCGCCCCCATCCTGTGCGTCGGCTGCCGGCTTGGAGTGTGGTTGAGGTCCTTTCTAGGGGAGGAGAAGGGAGACAGGGAGAGGAGCTGGCTCAGTCAGCCTGGCCCGAGCCTGCCGCTGGCTGGAAGTGGCCCCGGGGCTGGTCGGTGTCCCCATCTGAGTACGGAGAGAGCAGTGAGGGGCCCAGGCCTGCAAAGATGAAAGAGAAATGACAAATGAAAAGATGAAAGAGAAATCAGCGGACAACCATAACCCCAACCCGTCTTCCCTTCCTGGGAGCTGAAAGCCTGGATGGCGAGGCAGGCCTGCCTGGATTCAAACAGTAGTGACATCTTGGGCACGTTCCACTCTCTGAACCTCTCGGGGATGTTCAGGGCTGCCGTGAAGAACCCGAGTCCAGAGCCAGATGCTCCCTAGTTGGAATCCAGGCATTGCTATTTATTTGCTGTGTGACCTGGGGCAGGTGACTTCACCTCTCTGTGCCTCAGTTTCCTCATCTGTAAGATGGGCTAATAACAGCACCTCTCTCTCAGGGCTGTAATGAAGAATCAATGAGTAAATCCATGGAAGGTGCTCTGAACCATAACTAGTACTGGTGAGAGTACAGCTAAGTCAGCTGTTGTTACTTGGGAAACCAGAATACTCACACCTACTTCATTTATGAGAATTTACTCATTCAAAACATATTTGCTGTTGGGCGCAGTGGTTCATGCCAATAATCCCAGCACTTTGGGAGGCTGAGGCGGGTGGACTGCTTGAACTCAGGAGTTCAAGACCAGCCTGGGCAATATAGCAAAATCTCATCTCTACAAAACACGTAAAAATTAGCCAGGCGTGATGGCACATGCCTGTAGTCCCAGCTACTTGTGGGGGCTGAAGTCGGAGGATCACTTGAGCCCAGGAGGTTGAGGCTGCAGTGAACTGTGTTTGTGCCCCTGCACTCCAGCCTGGGTGACAAACTGAGAATCTGCCTCAAAAACAAAAAAAAAAAAAACCCAAGACATTTACTGTGCATCTACTTTGTGTCTGGCACTGTGCCAGGTGCTAGCAACACAGCAGTGAACAGGATAGATGACACTCCCTGCCCCTACCTTTGTGAGACGGACATTCCAGTGAGAAGCGCCAACTGGATCAGGTACAGGAAGCTAGGCACAGTGCGAGTGCTTAAATCTTAGCTCCTCATTCACAAATACGTGCAGAGAACCCCCTCTGTGCTCGGCCACCACCCACCCATGCGCACAAAGAAGAATATAGCAGGGACCAAGATAGCCCCGGCCCCTGCCTTTGAAGGTCTTATACCCAAAGGAGAAGACAGACAGCAATCAAATGATGACCCAGAGGCCTGTGTAATTATATTATGGAGTGTTATAAGCCATGAGCATATGAAGTGAGGGAGGGCTTTGTGGAAGGAGTCATATTTGATCCGAGATCTAAAGGATGTGGTAACATGGCACAGAACAGAGGGAAAAGTATTCCAGGGAGAAGGAGCAGGATATGCAAAGGCCCTGAGGCAGCCGCCTCCATTGTGATGACTTTAAAGCCATCACAACATCCCACAGAGGCTCCATGCAGTCAACCCTCACCTTTCTCTCCTCTCTGCTTCAGCTACACTGGTCTTGCTTTTCCCCAAATAAGACAGATACAGCCAGGCACAATCCCAGCACTTTGGGAGGCTGATGCAGGAGGATCACTTGAGCCCAGGAGTTTAAGACCAGCCACCCAACATAACAAGACCTCTTTCTCTACAGAAATTAAAAGATTAGCCAGATGCGATGAAGTGCACTTGTAGTCCCGGCTACACGGGAGACTGAGATGGGAGGATCACTTGAGCCCAGGAGTTCAAGGCTGAAGTGAGCTGTGATTGCACCACTGTGCTCCAGCCTGGGCAGCAGAGCAAGATACAGTTCCCCCACTCCCAAAAAGACATATACAGTCCCCGCCTAAGGGCCTTTGGACTTGCCACTATCTCTGCCTGGGACACTCCTCCCCCGATATCATCAGGGCTCACTCCACGTTTGCTCAACTATCACCTTCTCAATGAAACCACCCTGATCATACTCCTTTTTTTTTTTTTTTTTTTTTTTTTGAGACAGAGTCTTGCTCTGTCACCCAATCTGGAGTGCAATGGCGCGATCTTGGCTCACTCCTCTGTCTCCTGGGCTCAAGCAATTCTCCTGTCTTAGCCACCCGAGTAGCTGGGATTACAGGTGCCCACCATTGCACCTGGCTAATTTTTGTATTTTTGTAGAGACAGGGTTTCACCATCTTGGCCAGGCTGTTCTTGAACTTCTGACCTTGTGATTCGCCCACCTCAGCCTCCCAAAGTGCTGGGACTACAGGCGTGAGCCACTACACCTGCCAATTTTTGTATTTTTAGTAGAGATGGGGTTTTGCCATGTTGGCCAGGCTGGTTTTGAACTCCTGACCTCAGATGATCCACGCAACTCAGCCTCCCAAAGTGGTGGGATTACAGGCATGAGTCACCACACCTGGCCTGTTTATTCATTTAAATAGAGACAGGGGCCTGAGTGGTGGCTCATGCCTGTAATCGTAGCACTTTGGAAGATCAAAGTGAGTGAGCTGCTTGAGCTCAGGAGTTCGAGACTAGCCTGAGCAACGTGGTGAAACCCTATCTCTACTAAAAATAAAAAATAAAAAAAATAAAAAAATAGCTGAGGGTGCTGGTGCCCACCTGTGGTCCCAGCTACTCGGGAAGCTGAGGTGGGAGGGTCGCTTGAGCCAAGAGACACAAAGGTTGCAGTGAGCCGAGAATGACAGAGCAAGAACCTGTCTCAAAAAAAAAAAAAGAGAAAGAGAAAGAAAATGAAAATGTGAAAATAAATAAATAGAGACAGGGTCTCGCTCTGTCACCCAGGTTGGAGTACAGTGGTGCAGTCACAGTTCACTGCAGCCTCGAACTCCTGGCCTTAAGCAATCCGCCCATCTCAGCCTCCCAAGAAACTAGGACAACAGGTGTGTGCCACCACACCCACCTGGTTTTTAAAAAATTTTGGTAAAGACCGAGTCTTGCCGTGTTTTCCAGGCTGGTCTCTAACTCCTGGTCTCAAGTGATCCTCCCCTCTATCACCTCCCACGGCATTGCGACTACAGGAATGAACCACTTGCCCAGCTCTCTTGGACTCTTTTTTTTTTTTTTTTTTTTTTTGAGACAGGGTCTCGCTCTGTCGCCCAGGCTGGAGTGCGCTGGCACCATCGTAGCTCACTGCAGCCTTGAACTCCCAGGCTCAAGCAATCCTCCTGCTTTAGCCTCCGGAGTAGCTGGGACTAAAGGCATGCACCACCGTGCCCAGCCAATCAAAAAAAAAAATTTAGGCCAGGTGTGGTGGCTCATACCTGTAATCTCAGCACTTTGGGAGGCCAAGGTGGGTGAATCACCTGAGGTCAGGAGTTCAAGACCAGTCTGGCCAACATGGCAAAACCCCATCTCTACCAAAAATGCAAAAATTAGCCGGGTGTGGTAGCATGTGCCTGAGCACGAGGCTGAGGCAGGGGAATCGCTTGAACTCAGGGGGCGGAGGTTGCATTGAACTGAGATTGCGCCAGTGCACTCCAGCTTGGGTAACAGGGCATGACTCCATCTCAAAAAAAAAAATTATTTTTTTTTAGTAGAGACAAGGTCTTGCTATACTTAGTCCAGGCTGGTCTCAAGCTCCTAGCCTCAAGCGATCCTCCCACTTTTGACTCCCGAAGTGCTGGGATTACAGGCATGAGCCAGGTGCCCAGCCTCCCTCTTACACTCTTTTTCATATTTGTTTCTTTTTTTTTGAGACATTGTTTCATTCTTGTTGCCCAGGCTGGAGTGCAGTGGTGCGATCTCGGCTCACTGCAACCTCCACCTCCTGGGTTCAAGCGATTCTTCTGCCTCAGCCTCCCATGTAGCTCGGCTTACAGGCACGCGCCACCACGCCCAGCTAATTTTGTATTTTTAATAGAGACGGGGTTTCTCCATGTTGGTCAGGCTGGTCTCAAACTCTCAACCTCAGGTGATCTGCCCGCCTTGGCCTCCCAAAGTGCTGGGATTACCGGCATGAGGCACTGTGCCTGGCTCTTGTACTGGTTTCTTTGTTACGGTCTGTCTCCTGCACTAGAATGTCAGCTCCACAAGGGCAGAGATTTCTATGCATTTTGTTCACAACCTGTCCCCAGCCCCTAGAACTATGCCTGGTGCTTACTGCATGCTTTATAAATATTTGTTACACGCATGAAGGAAAGAATAAACTGAAAGACAGTGGCTGCACCTGAAACAGAGCACAGTGTGGTCCAAGACGTAGCAGAGACCAGACCCTGCAGGGATCTAAGTTCAAGCGAGGAGTTTGATCTTTCTTTGAAGGGCACTAGGGAGCCATGGAAGGACTTTGAGCAGAGGAGGGCTAGGGTCAGATTTAGGCTCTGAAAAGATTCCTCTGGCTGATATATGGAGGTTTCAAGTGAAGCAATGGCTTTTGATAGTTGCACTGTAAAATGACAGCTTGTCTCATGCTCTGCGGAGGGGCTGTGGGAAGCACCATCACCACGATAGCCACACGGCAGACATTTTCTTTAAAACTTTTTTTTTTTTTTTACATCTAAAAACATTTTTAAAGACCGGGCGTGGTGGCTCACACCTGTAATCCTAGCGCTTTAGGAGGCCGAGGCAGGCAGATCACCTGAGGTCAGGAGTTCGAGACCAGCCTGGCCAACATGGTAAAACCCCGTCTCTACTAAAAGCACAAAAATTAGCCGGGTGTGGTGGTGCACACCTGTGATCCCAACTACCTGAGAGGCTGAGGCAGGAGAATCACTGGAACCCAGGAGGTGGAAGTTGCTGTGAGCTGAAATTGTACCACTGCATTCTAGCCTGGGCGACAGAGCAAGACTTTGTCTCATAAATAAATAAATAAATAAATGGTAATAAAGTGTGATCATGGGCATGGAGGCTCCAGAGATCTAGTCTCGGGCCAGGGCTTGGCTTCCACCCCAAAGGGCAGCCTTGGAGAGCCCCTGCCTCCCTTAGGGTCTCTCTTCCCCCCTCCTCCACAGTGTCCATGAGAAGAGAGAAGAGACAGGAGCTGCCATTTCCACCAAGGTCATCTCCAAGCACTGATAGTCCCCCAGCACCTTTGGAATAGCTCCATCCCTCTTATACCTCCTAGGGGAGAGGTTGCTACTCACCCAGGGGCTCATTCATGTCCAGGAGGGGTGTGCTGGGGTCCTGCAGGCTCCCTGGGGCTGGTCCTCCTGTCAGAAGGAAACTCTGTGGGAGAGACGGACAAAACCACCACCACCATTACCATCATCGGTATCCAAGCCATAGCTGGGCGTGGTGGCTGTAATCCCAGTGCTTTGGAAGGCTGAGGCGGGAGGATCGCTTAAGCCCAAAAGTTTGAGACCAGCCTGGGCAAGACAGTGAGATCTCATCTTTACCAACAATTTAAAAATTAGCTGGGTGTGGTGGCACGTGCCTGTAGTCCCAATTACTTAGGAGGCTGAGGTGAGAGGATTCCGTGAGGCCAGGAGTTTGAGGTGACAGTGAGCTATGATAGCGTCACTGCATTCCAGTCCGGGTGACAGAGACCCTATCTCTAAAAAAAAAATAACAAAAATAAAATAAAATAAATAAATAAAAAATAAGGCCAAGCACAGTGGCTCATGCCTGTAATTCTAGTGCTTTGGGAGGCCAAGGTGGGAGGATCACTTGAGGCCAGGAGTCTGAGATCAGCCTGGGCAACATAATGAGACCCTGACTCTACAAAAAAATTTAAAAATGAAAGAAGCCGAGCACGGTGGCTCATGCCTGCAATCCCAGCACTTTGGGAGGCTGAAGTGGGCAGATCATTCAAGGTCAGTTGTTCAAGACCAGCCTGGCCAACATGGTGAAACCCCGTCTCTACTAAAAATACAAAAATTAGCAGGGTGTGATGGTGCATGCCTGTAATCCCAGCTACTTGGGAGGCTGAGGCAGGGGAATTGCTTCAACCTGGGAGGAGGAGGTTGTAGTGAGCCAAGATCATGTCACTGCACTCCAGCCTGGATGACAGAGTGAGACTCCATTGAAAGAAAGAAAGAGACAGAGAGAGACAGAGAGAGAGAGAGAGAGAAAAGAGAGAAAGAAAAAAGAAAGAAAAGTGAGAGAAAGAGAAGAAAGGAAGGAAAGGAGAGAGGGAGGGAGGGACGGAAGGAAAGAAAGAAGGGAAGAGGGGAGGAAGGGAGGAAGGGAGGAAGACCCAGGGACAAGATGGTGCAGTGGTTAAGGGCTGCTGGGGTCCAGTGGCCACCTGTCAGGGGTGTGCCTTTGGGTCAGTCCCTGTCCAATCATCCTACCTGTGTTCCTCCAGAGCCTTGTTCCCCCTTCTCCTCCTTCCTCCCTGCCCAAGGACCTGTGCACAGGGACTGTAACAGCCTGCAACTTTGCTCCGTGTGTTCCTGTTGGTGAGCTCACGGGAGACACCAGCAGGTGGGTATTCATTCTTCTCTGTGAGTTGGTGGTGTCCCTCCATGGAAGGTTTCAGCCCAAATTAGCTGGACTTCACCTGCCACAGGATCCGGTGACCACCCCACCCTGCGCCTTCAGGCCAGGGCTGGTGCCCACTTCCCATGCATGACCCAGGGTACTGTACCAGCCTTGTTGGTTTCCCTGCGCTATGTTAACACCTTTTCCAACAGTCCTGTTATTAAATTCTCCTCAACACTCCATCTGACTGTGCTACCTTTCCTGCGCAGACTCTGATAGTCGTTTAACTTCTTCTGTGTAAATGTGTGTAATAGTAACAAGAATATTTCAATAGCTGTTGTGAGGATTAAATAAGTTAATCATGCAAGGAATTTAGTGCAGTCAGTGTCTGGTACATAGTAGGCACTTAATAAGTGTAAGCTGTCATAGATGTATATACACATAAAATACATAACATACATATATACCATGAGATATAACATAGACACACATATATACACACATACACACACAAATATATATTTAAATATATATATTTTGTATATATAAATAAAAATATATATTAAAATATATATTTAAATATAAAAATTATATATTATATATTTTATATATAATATATATATTTAAATATACATATACTTATATTTATATATTATTTATATATAAAATAGATATATATTTTATATATGTGTGTGTATGTATGTGTATATATGTGTGTATATGTTATATCTGAGACAGAATGTTACTCTGTCCTCCAGGCTGGAATGCAATGGCACGATCTTGGCTCACTACAACCTCTGCCTCCCGGGTTCAAGCAATTCTTGTGCCTCAGTCTCGCGAGTAGCTGGGACTACAGGTGCGCACCACCACTCCCAGCTAATGTTTGTATTTTTAGTAGAGACAGGGTTTCACCATGTTGGCCAGGCTGGTCTTGAACTCCTGACCTTAAGTGATCCTCCCGCCTCATCCTCCCAAAGTGCTGGGATTACAGGTGTGAGGCATTGCATCTGGCCTGTAAACTGTTATATTATCAACCACATCTCATATTCAAACATTTGCAGAGCAAAGAACCAAGGCACTGCTGTAAGCACTAGGGAGCCATGAAAGGTCCTAGAGGGAGGCCTTGCAGAAGTGACATAGTCCGGGCTGGCTTTTTTGTTTTTAATTTTTTGAGACAGGGGCTGTGCTGTCACCCAGGCTGGAGTGCAGTGGCACGATCACAGGCTCACTACAGCCTTGACCTTCCAGGCTCGGGTGATCCTTTCACTGCAGCCTCCTGAGCAGCAGGGACTACAGGCACATGCACCACACCTAGTTAACTTTTTAATTTTAATTTTTTTTTTTTTTTTGTAGAGATGGCATCTCACTATGTTGCCCAGGCTGGTCTCGAACTCCTGGGCTCAAGTGATCCTGCTGCCTTGGCTTCCCTAAGTGCTGGGATTATAGGCGGGAACCACTGCACCTTGCCCAGGCTTTTAAAAAGGGTACTGTGGTTGCTGTCATGCAGAATGAATAGATGGGGAGGGACAGGAGGAGGGACACTGTAGGGAGGCTGCTTTTGTTTGGTTTGTTTGGTTTTTTGAGACAGAGTTTTGTTCTTTGTTGCCCGGGCTGGAGTGCAGTGGCACGGTCTCAGCTCACTGCAACCTCTGCCTCCTGGGTTCAAGCGATTCTCCTGTCTTAGTCTTCCAAGTAGCTGGGATTACAGGTGCCCGCCACAACACCCGGCTAATTTTTGTATTTTTAGTAGAGACGGGGTTTCATCATGGTTGGCTAGGCTGGTCTTGAACTCCTGACCTCAGGTGATCCGCCCACCTCGGCCTCCCAAAGTGCTGGGATTACAGACGTGAGCCACTGAGCCCAGCCATTTGGTTTGTTCTTGTACACCACACTGAATGTTTATATCATGGCAGTCCCCTGAGATACAAACATTCCCACTTTCTGGATGAGGAAACTGAGGCTTGATGTGGTGATGTCACCTGCCCAAAGTCTCACAGTTACTGGGTGGCAGACCTCAGACTTGAACGCAGGCCAGTCTGATTCTAGTGTCTGTACTTTGAACTCTGCACTAGTAATCCGAAGCCAAGACCTGTTCTAGTTTCGGGAGGGTGTCCTACGGGAACAGAGAGAAGATTCCTGCAGATATCAACCACATGCCATGTCTCCCCTTATCCTGTTTCATTTTCCTTCTTTGCACTTACCACGAATATATATATATATATATATATTTGAGACAAGGTCTCACTCTGTCGCTCCGGCTGGAGTGCAGTGGCACGATCTCAGCTCACCGCAGAGCTTTTTAGTATGCATTAGTGAAACTAGAAGATCAGGCCCCAGCATCAGCCGGCCTGTTGATCTTCTGTATGATTCTCAACCAGCCTGTGCCCCTCTCTGGTTTCCTATTTATAAAACAGGAGATTTATGCCAGCTAGCTAATGAGGGCCAGAGAATCCCATTAATCCCCCAACACACCAGGCTGAGGGGAAACAGCAGAAAGTTTCCGGGTTCTGGGCTGGGGCATCTTTTGGGAGGTCTCACTCCCAGCAGCTCCACTCCCTCGTCCTCGCCTTCTGAGCTCTGGGCCAGGGTCCTGGAGGAAAACAGGCAAGAATCTCAGGACACAGCAAACCTGGGCAAGAGTGGGTCACAGTGTAAGCAGGTGATAAGCATTTGTTCACTCCCTTGAGCACCTGTTATTTCTTTACTCATACACCCACCAGTCCATCCATCCATCCACTAATCCTTCTTCTCATTTATCCAATAATCCATCCCTCAGCTTCCATCCATCTATCCTTCCATTCATCCACCTATTTATCCACCTAGTTGTCCTCCATCTATCCATCCACTCTTCCATCCACCCAGCCATCCGCCATCCGTCCATCCATCCATCTGCTGTCCATCCACCAACTATCTCCCATCCATCCATCCATCCATCCACTGTCTATCCATCATCCATCCAACTATCTCCCATCCATCCATTCACCATTCATCAATCTACCATCCATCCATTCATCCATCCACCATCCATCCATTCATCCATCCATCCATCTGTCCATCTATCCATCCATCTATCCATCCATCTGCTGTCCATCCATCATCCATCTGCCATCTATCCATTCACCATTCATCCATCTACCAATCCATCTTCTCATTTATCCAATAAACCATTACCCACCCACCCAAATAACCTCCATTCATCTATCCTTCCATTCATCCACCTATTTATCCACCTAGTTGTCCTCCATCTATCCATCCATTCTTCTATCCACCCAGTCATCCATCCATCCATCCATCCATCCATTTGCCATCCAACCACCATCCACCATCCATCCATCCATCCATCCATCTATCCATCTATTGATCCATCCATCTATCCATCCATACATCCATTTACCATCCATCTACCATCCATCTGCTATCCATCCATTAATTTATTGATCCATCCATCCATCCATCCATCCATCCATTAATCCATTCATCCATCCTTCCTTCCTTCCAGCCACCCATGAACTCATTGATCCATCCATCCTCTGTCTACTCATTCATCCATCCATCCACATGTACATACATACACCCTTTTATCTATACATCCATCCATCTGTCCTTCCATCCACCCCTCCATCCAACCACCTGTCCACCCATAGAAGTGACAACAATATTCATTAATAATTCCCTCCCTCCCTCATTTTGTAAGTCTTTATCAGGCACCCACTTTATAGCCAGCAATAAGCTGGGAGCCTTGGGAGATACCAAGATGTATCCATAAAAGCCTTAAAAGGATAGTACAGAAACCACTCTGGATTCCAGGTGAGCACATACTTGCAACTTAGTTCTAGACAGTTTCTTTTCATTTTCCCTCCCTCCCTTCTTTCCTTCCTCTCTCTCTGTTCTCTCTTTCTTTCATTTTTTTTTTTTTTTTTTTGACAGGGTCTCACTGTTGCCCCGGCTGGGGCAGTGGGGGCAACCCCACCCCCTTTTGGCCTTGAACTCCTGGGCTCTAGTGATCCTCCTACCTCAGCCTCTCAAGTAGCTGGGACTACGGGCATGCATCACCACACTCAGGTTAGACAGTTTCTCCGACATGGTGGCAAAGTCTTCTAAACTCTGACGAAAATTATCACTGGATCAGATGTAACTATGTTCCAAAGGAGAGAGCCCTCCCTGGTTGAAAGGTAAACAGTGAGAGCAGTGGAGGGCACTCCAAAGGCATAGAGATGGGCATAAACTTGGAGCATGCTGGGCCCACTGAGGGCCTGGCTGGAGCAGAGATCAGGGTTAGAGAAATGCTGAGAGATGAGGCTGAGGCAGGAGGCAGGGGCAAGATGGGGTGAGGGGATGCTCCCTTGACGTCCCCCCTTTATTGCGGCTCACCTCTTCCGAGCTCCAGCCATGAGAGAGGATGCGGAGGGGTCACCTCTGGAAGGGCTGGAGCAGCTCAGCCGGGGGTCACTCCCCCAGCGGGGCAGCAGGGAGGACTCAAAGGCTGGAGGTGACAGGCCATGGAAGCTCTGAGCACGGGGCCGGGGGACAGCCCCCGGAGGTCTGTGGTAGGCCCTGGGTAGCTGTTCACTGGCGTTGAGCTGGAAGTCATCATCCATGGAGATGTAGGGGGCCAGCATCTCCAAATCCAGAGCGTCAGCATCCTGTGGAGGGCAGGAGGGAAGTAAGAGCATGAGCCTTGGACTTGGGTGGACCCAGGCTGAAGTCATCACACCACCACTTCTGAGTTCTGTGCCTGTGGCCAACAGCCTGAGCTTCAGTTTCCTCATCTGTAAAATGGGTATAAGGACTCTCTGAAGAGCATGTTAGAGAAATCCCAAATTGAGTCAGAGGCATGGTATCTCACACCTGTAATCCCAGAGCTTTTAGGAGGCTAAGTCGGGAGAATCACTTGAGGCTAGAAGTTCGAGACCAGTCTGGGTAACAGAGCGAGACTTCTATCTCCACAAAAAAGAAAAAAATTAGCCAGGTGTAGTGGCCCATGCCTGTAGTTCTAATTATTCAGGCGGCTGAGGCGGGAGAATTGTTTGAGCCCAGGAGTTTGAGATTGCAGTGAGCCATGATTACACGACTGCAGTCTAGCCTGAGTGACAGAGTGAGACACTGGAAAGAAAGAAAGGGCTGGGCGTGGTGGTTCATGCCTGTAATCCCGGCACTTTGCGGGCGGATCACGAGGTCAAGAGATCGAGACCATCCTGGCCAACACGGTGAAACACCGTCTCTACTAAAAATACAAAAATTAGCTGAGCTCGGTGGCGCACACCTGAGGTTGCAGCTACCCGGGAAGCTGAGGTGGAAGAATTGCTTGACCCAGGAGATGGAGGTTGCAGTGAGCCAAGATTGCGCCACTGCACTCCAGCCTGGTGATAGAGCAAGACTCCGTCAAAAAAAAAAAAAAA